CAAACAGAGGTCCACAAAGTGCTCTCTCTCTCTCTCTGACGTCCACAAAGATGAATCTCTCTCACACACAAGAGCAAGAGATCCACAAACTTGGAACTCTCTCTCTCCAAAATACAACCAGCTCGCATACACGTACAGAGATAGATCACACTTCAGATTATAAATCAAAGGCATTTTGGTAAAGAAGACGAGATTTGATTGGTAAAATACTTTACAAACTTGCAGCCCCTTCCAAATACACTAAGAAGGCTAATTGAACTGGAACTTATTCTTTTCCATCTATTTGTATTCTATAATATATTGTAGTAAAATTACCTAGACTTGAAACTACTTTAAATAAGGAACTTTAAAATTAATTGTAGTCCTAAATCCATCGAGTGTGAAAACATGATATGCTCAATAAACTTTACATACTCGATCTGTTTCTTGGGTACTCAACTCAACACAGTGATAAACCTGCAATCCACAAACAACATAAATTGAATCAGTGAAATATTATATAATTGACACAAAAAGATTTTAATGGAAAAAAAGGGTAACCTTTACATGTCATACCACCTACATATAAAACATGTGTGACTGCTATTCTACGCCATCCGATCTGAATGGCCGCTTTAGTCAAATGTCGCAATTTAGCTTCTAAGCATTTGATCGTTGGATCGAAGCTCAGAGTATTTTATTTTTTATTTTACAAATCATTCTTATATGAAATTTGGAGAGTACCCACTTCTTATAACACGCACTCCCCATGAGGAGTTGGCACAACTCAAATTTCTTGTTAAGATCTATATAAGTAGTCAAAAATCAAAAAGTGTTATGTGTAACGTGACATTATGACTGAAGGTATCTTAGCCATCCATTTAGATTGAACGGTTGGGAAAAGCGTCGCATGTTTTATATCGGTGCAACACGTAAAGGTCGCCTGAAACAGCATTATAGATAACACCTATTCTCTATCAATGCCCTTTAAACATTCGGAAAATACCCTAAAAAGACAAAAGTTGACAAAGGAGAGAAATAATATGAGAGAAGATAGGGTAACAGAGGAAAGTACAATAAAATGGAAGACGAATAAGAAAAATAAAACAGAAGAGGAATCATGTATCAATCAGGGTTTGAAGCAACAGAACAATCTGAAGTATAAATGAATATGGAACAGAGCAAGTATGCCATACACTTAATGTATGTATGTTATATCATAAACAAAGGGGCCTACTGTGTCAGAAGAAACATACAACAATAGAAACATCCACAAGTTTAGGGTTTAAACTACATCATCCTTCTTGATTATAAGTTACTAATCAAAAATAAAAGCTTACTGGGTTACTAAGGCTAAATGCTTAGACTTACTTGGGATAAAATTAGAAGGAGCGTTTCCCAGGTTTCCGATCGCTGTGCGAGCTATTTCCACCAAATCCACCAAAACTACCAAAGCGGCTCGAACTAGAGTCACCAAAACCACCAGAACGCTTCGAACCTGAGTCACCAAAACCACCAGATCGGCTTGAACCCGAACCACCGAAGCTGCTTGAACCAGACTCTCCAAAGCCACTCGAGCGGCCAAATCCAGACCCGCCAAAGCCACCAGAACGGCCAGATCCAAAGTCACCAAATCCACTAGAGCGACCTGAGCCAGAAGCACCAAAACTACCAGAGCGGTTACTTGAACGACCAAATCCTGAATCACCAAAGCCCCCTGATCGGCCAAAGCCTGTGCTACCAAAACGACTGCCGCTTCCAAATCGACCACCACCAATATCACCAAACATATCGCGATCACCACCCTCCACTTTAATTCTAGGCAACTAAGGAAAGAATATAACATAGTAAGCAAACCATTGCCATCATGTGGAGCAGCTGAAATAAAGCTTCATGACTTTTGATCTTCTATACAAATAAAGCTTTAGGAGTTTTGATCTTCTATACAGCTCTAATTCATAAACAAACTATGCACTGCAAGCATGCAGGCATTGAGAGAAAAGATATTTAATGCATCAAGAACATTAGTGTTTATCAGTTATCACTTCCTATATATACAAGGGGAAAGTAATACAATACACATCCAATGTATGGTAAAACATCAACAGGTGGAATTTGCTATCCATTGATAAGCATGGATGGTGAAGATGAAGCGAAGTTCCAAGTGAATATCCATCAAAATAAGTCAATGGATTTACGATTCACATCACCAGCCGTGGATGTTATGAAAGATGCAGGATGTGAATGTATACTATAATCACAAAAAAAAAGAAAAAAACAAGCACAAGGTATTAGGCGCCACTCTATTTGTCTAAACTCAACAGTACTGAATGGAAAGCATTCCAAGTAATCGATATGTTAAGGTATCCAACGACCAAGTGTAATGCAACCATTTTGGAAGCACCTCCTGAGAACCTTTTGGATTTCCAAACAACATTACTTTTCTCTTTCCAAACAAAATTACTGTAGGACTTAATAATTGCAATATGTACATTTGCATTGGTGTATAACATATTCTGCAAGTGTCAGATTCATAAGAAATATTTCAGGAAAAAACAGTCAAAAATCACATGAATCACGTAAAGTTCAGGAAGCAAGTCGAAAGAAATTAGGAAAACCATCAGAAAATATGCTAAAATATTGTGTAGGACAAAATCAATTCAATACTTACTTTTAGCAAGTATTTTTCATAGATGAAAAACACATTCACAAAAATAAATGGTAGCTATATAATTTCGAATGACAGCAAAAATTTGAGAAAAAGATTGATACGTGCACAAACAGGTTCTTTGCTGTTCAGCTACAGTTCCAACCCCCCAACACAATCCACCCCCCACACCCCACAAAAAAAAAGGACAACTCATAGCCGTTGTACATTTAAAACTACACCCATTTGATTTTCCATACCATGGCATAATTGGTAGAGAGGAACTTTCCAATTTTGTCCCTCCACCAAAAAGATTCACCTTTTTTTTTTTTGTAGTTAAAAAAGATTCACCTTTTTAAAGGGTTAATGTTTCAATGAGAACAGCACTACGTGATGGCATTGATAAAAAAAATCACAACATACCAATTTTGCTTCAGATATCCTATTGCCAGCTATGCATTATGCAAAAGCATTGAATTTATGAAGAAAATATGAATTGACAAATAATGTAAATACGACACTGTCGAAACGTGAATGATATCATGGCAAAGGGAGAAGCATCAAGATTGGAATGGAGGACTATGGTTAGCATCTATGGGGGTCTTGAATGATTGAATCTTAAATCCCCAACATCGAGAACCCTCGGTAATCCATTTCTACAAGATTTGGAAGTTACTTAGGCATGATACTGGAAGGGTTAAGTTTTAGAATTCACATGGCCTTGTTCCACTGGTTGTTTAGGCATGGAATTAGATGCCTGAGCAGGTTGAACCATGGAGGCTGGCAAATGTAATATAGAGGTTGAATGCTCTCAATAGATCTTACTCTATTTTGTGCATAGGGTGGCTAATAAAGCACTGGACATGTTGGCTAGGATTCGCTTTTCCAGGACAAACTTGGGAGTACAGAGGTCAACCATTGTAATTTTTATGATGTCAACTTTTGCAATTCTTTCAAAATATATATATAATAACTGTACAATAAATGACAAAAAATAATGGTAAATGTCATAGATGCTTCAAGAATAGAAGTATACCTCTGTAAATTTAGATCCAACATCTTGTTCAATGACCCTGACAGCCCTTGTTTGCTGATCTGTGTAAATCAGAATTGCAGTTCCCTTCTTACCTGCACGCCCTGTCCTCCCAGATCTATGAACAAATATCTCGGAAGTGCTTGGCAACTCATAGTGAATAATCTGAACATTGAAAGAAGCATAAGAAAACTCATGGACAGCAGTATAGATGGGACATATATAAACAAGCGATGAAATATTCAATGAGAGGAAGAGTAACCATGGTTATGCAGAACATCTTGTATTTTAACAATATGATACTTCTGAAAAGTCCAATGACAAAATTTATCAAGACTAGACTATCCATGACACAATAATTTTTGTTTAATGGGACATAACTTAAAAAATCTCAATACCGTATACGGAACAGTTAAGCAAAGAAAACCATTTTTCAATTGCTACATGTTTCACAGACGTGTACCTCCTCTACTATGTTCTGACTCATGAATGAAAGGCAAAACACATTAGTACATAATATACTGTTCATTTTCTTCTGTAACCAAGTCCATCCACAAACTTGTTCTTTTTTTTGAGATCAAGTCCATCTATAAAATTGCACAAAACTACAGGCTATGTTCTGATGTTCTTTTGGAATAACTTTTACTGTTAGCAGTGGATGTATATTTTTATATTCACCTTCATGCCTACATACCAATCATGCAAAAATGCACACATAGACTAGCTAACTGTTGACAGCACATTTGATCCAGGGTTTCATCACCAACTAAACCTCTGGGATACAGACAAATGTGGAACAAACAAACCCCACCTCTGTCTGTGATCATCACATGGCAGTTTTCCTATTGACCCTATTCCCCTTCAGTCCTTCAAAAAGCATGACCATCTCAATCAAATTGCATGCATGCACCTGCTTGTATCCAGAATACGTAAACATGTTTAACAAACATAATTATTCTAGGCTTCTTTGGCATATAAACATTGAGGAAGTCAGCATTCAGTAAATTATAAATCAACAAAATTTAATCAACGTTATCCTAGTTATCTACGCAATGGACAAACCTGAATAACCTCCATCCCTACCTGGACAAGCATCACAAGGTAACATTAGCAGTGAGTATACTCTATCCTACTTTCAATCCTCTTCTCAGCGTTTACCAACTCGGGTGAACTGACTGAGACTTAAGAGTCACTCAGGCTTGGCAGGCTGCTGAACCAGAATAATGCCCAATTCGGAGGTACTTATAGTTAAATTGACTAAATGAACTATAACTGATGTACACTTAATTTTGAAAATACTTTTTATGTTTTACATTTTAAATTTTTCTATTTTTCTCATTACTTAATGAGAAAATTATCTTTAGCTAGTTTTTGTTTTTTTTCTCGTTGTTTGTACTTTTTATTCTACTTTATTTTATTTTTTTGAATGTTAACTTGGAACCAAATAGGACTGGAACTCTAGATGCCATGTTGCAACACCCTGCCACCCAGACCTAGAGACCATTCCTTAAATTTTCATGTTGTCTAGCTTTTTTGCTTTTCTCCCCTGATTTTACCAATTTTTTCAGTATTTTTTAATTTTTGTTGTTTTTTTTTTTTTTGGTTCTTTTGGCAGTTTTTGGCTTTTTCTATTTTTCTCATTACTTAATGAGAAAATGATCTTTAGGTAGTTTTTGTTTCTCTTTTATCTTAAAAACCTTTTTATCGTTGATTGTACTTTTTATTCTACTTTATTTTATTTTTTTGAATGTTAACTTGGGACCAAATAGGATTGGAACTCTAGATGCCATGTTGCGACACCCTGCCACCCAGGCCTAGAGACCATTACTTAAAGTTTTCATGTTGTCCAGCTTTTTTTGTTTTTTTCCCCTGATTTTACCAATTTTTTCAGTATTTTTTAATTTTTTTGGTTTTTTTTTGTTTTTGGCTCTTTTGGCTATTAGGCATGGACTCGGCGAGTTGTTGCCTCGGACTCACCCAAGCCACTCTGCTTTCCCAGGGAGCGAGTTCCATGGCCCAGCGCCCCCAGACACTTTATCTTACACTACTTCTGCCAAGTCATATGTTTCTCAACTACCAAGAATCCCTCCTAAACATTGCATCACCAATCATATTAAGTAAATTTTGAGTATCTAGATGGACGAATAACCAAACGGATATGCTTATTTATGAAGGTTGGCGTGGACCAACAATAAATTGATAAAGTATCAATAATAAATATATATATATATATGGAAAATCTAAAGACACAAAAGCATATACCAATGTGCATACACACAATCCAACATCAACTCACCAACCACTCAAGATAATTTTCTTTTTGAGAAAACAGTCGATATATTATTTATCCATATCTAATTAAAGCCATTCTGTCATGCAAAACATCTAAATGAGATAAAGCACATAAAGCAGTTACACCAACAGTAAACCATGAAAAGTTGAAAACCATTGGACTCCTAGTTATATCAGAAACCAAAATATTTAACTACTATTACATAGGATTAACGTCAAAACAGGTGTTTTAGTGGTCCTTCATGGACCATTAATTAACCAAATGACTGGCTCATGCATTCATGTTAAATTTAAGGAGATATGCTATTACTCCTACCATTTTTTGGCTAAGAAGCTTCAATCCATCCATTAAACAATAAAGTTCAGTTACAAATTACGTGATGACTTGGTAGTATACAAGATTAAATCCTAACATAACTAGAAGACAGATTCTTATGACTTTTAGAAGAGAAGGTGACCAACCAGATCAACATTCGGTATATCGAGCCCACGAGCAGCAACATCAGTTGCAACCAAAATGTTAAAACGACCATCTCGAAAGCCCGAAAGGGTCCTTTCTCTCTGGTTCTGTGAGATGTCACCATGCAAAGCTTCACATTTCAAGTTCCGTCCCATAGCATATGCCAGCCGATCAGCATCACGTTTTGTCTGAGTGAAAACAATGCATTTCCCTCCCTTAGCGTGTTCCTGACAAACAAGTCAAGGTGGGGTTAAAAAAATTAGCAACCAAAAAGAGACAGAGAGATCACATAAGCAACCAAAAAAGTGCACAATGTTTAAGTATAAAATTATGCAATGTAAATAACACAAGGTATTTTGAATGTGATATAAATAACTCATGTAGAAAGGCCCCAGATGTAATAACAAAGAAAAAAGGGGAAAAAAGGCAAAAAGAAAATAGAAAGCAAAGTGATGCAATAAACCCAACCAATATGGCATTACAAGTAGATCAAAATGAAGCAATAGTAGAATACAACCAAATATGGAAAGGACGAGCAGAACAATCTGATACATACAGTTATCAGAGGTCCAAGAATAGAAGCCTTCCCATAAATATCTGATAAAATGGAATATAGTTTTATTCCTTCTGCTAACTTCTGTTCTGAATCACCAACCTGCAGAAAGATGGATACCAGAGTCAAAGTGGGGTTAAAACATTTAGCATTTCCCCTCTTCCTAAATGTCCTCAAGAACCGGATATCTTAGTGATAGTTTGGGTTCTTATGACTGGAGGGAAAAAGTGAATTTCAATAATGGAAGACACAAAAGAAACCAAAATGTCATTAGATAGAAAAATACAAAAGAAAGCATGCACCTAACTGGAGCATGAATTTTCAAACTATAACACACTTCATAAACAAATATCTAGACAATAAAAATGCTATGTAGCACCCAAATGAAGCATGCCTTTTTTGACATATTAACATATTTGATACAAAATTAATATGGCGACAAAACTAATCCTCTTAGATGGACAAAGTCGGAGCAGGAACGAGTATGAAAGAGTTCACTGAAGCACCGAAGGTCATATATGCACATCCTTATGTGCCCAACACACACACACAATGTGCGTTTCTCAAAAAACAAAATGATGAGAAAGATAGACCATCCAAAATTGCCTAATATGGATAGATCACATCCTAGCAACTCCACCCTGGAACTTGAGAAGAAGATAGTCTTCAGAGGTTAAAAGCAACAAATGCATAAGAAAGAACTCACAAGATCTACAGTCAATGGAGCCTTCAAGTATTTCTGTGTCAACGTTCTAATCCAGCTTGGCATTGTTGCTGAGAACATCATGCTCTGACGCTTTGGGGGCAATTTGTCCAGAATTATTTCAACAGCCTCTTCAAAGCCCACGGCAAGCATCTGATCTGCCTCATCAAGAACAACAAACTGCACCTCTGACAGGTTCAAGGCACCTCTCTTAAGAAGATCAATAATACGTCCAGGTGTCCCCACAACTACATCAACACCATAATCAAGAGTATTCATCTGAGATGATATAGGCACGCCTCCATAAACACATATCGTATCTAAGACTGGGGCAGATTCTTTGAATTCCTTTTCAACTTGACGAGCAAGCTCTCTTGTGGGAGCCAAAACCAAGGCTAAAGGATTTCTTCCACGCCTGGAGATGTACAAAGCACAAAACAAAGTCAATATCTTCTGCAATCAACAACAGTGAAAACCACAACTGCATTTATCATTGCCCATAAGGCCATAACAATTCAAAAAACATAGAACCCCACAAAAAAAAAAAAAACAAAAATACAATATAGAATCGATTATTTTACAAAAGAAAGAAAGGAAATTCTTGTCAGATAATGCATAGCATACTAAGCAAAACTTATCATTCAAAGGAAACAATATAGAAACTCCCGCATGCACACATACATACATATATAAATAGAGGGTAGAGACAGACGGACAGACAAAAAGACAGACAAAAAGCTCAAGGATAAGAAGGGCTAACCCATGCTTGGCATTGAACTGAATAATTTTGTCCATGATAGGCATCCCAAAAGCTAGAGTTTTTCCAGTTCCTGTTCTGGCCCGGCCAATCATATCACGCCCCTGCATTGCTGGTTCAAAGACAGCTTTCTACAAAACACAAGCAATAATCATCAATTTGAAAATGAACACAAAACCCATGATTTTGTAACCCAACATTGACACCTCAATATATAGCATAGTAAACACTACCAACCCAAAAAGCTGAAGACAATATGTCATTATTACTTGCCAAATGCATCAAATTCTTCTAAGAGAGAATACTGACCAACAAGAAAGTGAACAAATTTCAGATAGTTCCAATATGTGAACTGAATTTTAAAAAAAAAATCAGTTCACAGATTTTTTCAGCTTAATGCCTGATACAGTTGACTTGCACAAGCCACCAACTTAGTAGTAAATAGGAACCTCCGATTCAAACTTGGAACTCTTTCATCGCGTCAGTGATTCTAGTCATTTTTCTAGAGAGCACTTATAGACAATTTCATCCATTTATTCCAAACATTTGTGCCACTGTTCATGCATAAAGATTCAGCATCTTAAGTGATTTAAATTAAAGATATTTTACCAACCTTCACTTCAAAATGAAGTTTCACCATCAACCTTCTGTTTTTTTTTTTTTGAGAAATATTTCACCATCAACCTTCTTCCTCTTGATAAGCAACCAAAATGTGCTATACATTGAGTAAATGTGTGTAAAAAATCCTAATAACAGAAACCAGAAGAGGATAAATTTAGAGGGTAACAAGGAACTCAAAGGGGAGGAAGGATGAGGCATTTGGACCAAGGCAATAAACAATGAAACCTACCATCGGTCACAAAACCAACATCCCAGTCGGCTGCCCAAAGAACATGAATAAACGATGCTTGAAAAAACTCAGCTCAAGAATCATTCACTTAAGATTTAAACAATGTGCTTTGTAACGTGCTTATCCGAGTCCAGCCATGGGCAGCATTACCCTCCCCCAGGAGAAGGCTAGTAAAAGGACTGGGTGAAAAGTCATAAAACTATTATCCAAGGAAACATAGCTATAGTGCCTTCCATACACTAAATTGACAAAAGGCCATTAGGCCACTCCATCACTATCTCATGGAAAACCACCCATCCCATCTGATATTGGGGTTGATCATCATCTTATCGATGAAGTCAACCTGTGTATAACCAGGAGGTTTGTACCACAGAAAAGGTCCACAAACCATGAATGCGCTCATAGATTTGGGCCTACCCACTACTGCCCTGAAATTAATTTCTCAAGAGACTTAAAATGACAGAAATTTTGAAAAAGCATCCTAGAAGCAAAGACAACCCCCCTAAGGAATATAGATGAGAACACAAGTTTCTATTTGACATTGAGTGAGATAGAGAAAATGTAGTGAGGTCATTATACTCATAAATGTTAGACAGAGACTTGTATGGAGGCCTGATTTAAAGATTATATATCACAAAAGGATTCGAAATGTGAACCTCTTAAGCACAAACAAAGAAATATCGTCTTTGTTTTGTAGACTACAATGCCAGCTATCCCATACTTAACCGCAACCATCCCCATGAATAACTGATATTGTTACAGTATACTTTTTGCTCATTAATAAACCTTCATCAAACAAAAAGAAAAAAAAACACAGCAGATACTTAAAAATTGCATCTTTCTGAACTTTGAAAAAAAAAAAACATGTATTTCTAATTGCCAAGTGATTGCATTTTGCATCTGCCACAAGCCTGTCTATTTTCACCACTACCACAACATAAGCCTCAAAATAAACCACACAGAAATTTCAAAGGTTAAAAGGTATAAGGTATAACAATGTAAACAAACTGCGACAGCAACAAAAAAAGAAAAGTACTTGAGCAGTACTGAGATAATTTTATTCTCCAAAGTATTGGTATTGAGTACTCACTAAATCATTAGTTGTGATGAGTCCTATTGAGAAATATGAGCTCTTGAAGATGGATCACTATCTTTAACATAAATATTGCCTAGAAGACTGGATTAACATCAACCCTAATGTTATTGTTTGCTCACGCTAACATTTCTTTCTTGCCATGTGGGATGCCGTTCATAGGTTTCCCTCCATGTAAATTCCATTTTCTATTAATACAAAGTTAATATTCTCAAAAAAACACATTTCTTTCTTGCAAAATATATTCCTCAAAAATTAATCTGGTAATTCTTGCAAAAACATAATGAATATGATAAAGGACAACTTAGGGACTGGTAACCACACCTGGATAGGGAAAAGCTTTGTAATTCCACGCTTGGCCAAAGCAGAGACAATCTCACTGGATACCCCAAGCTTCGCAATCTCAAGCCCTTCATCATTATCCCCAGCGTTCTTGCTAGGAATGCTTTCATCGTCATAGAGGTCATCAACCGCATATTCAGCACATAAATTAGGAGAAACCCTGAACCCAAGAGGACCAACTGAAACATGAATATTCCTTGATGATCCAATATACGACAAAGGAAGGGGAACTTCTCCATTTTGGCGAGTCGCAATTGCAGAGGATGTGTACTGGTTCACAAAGATCCGAGAGGAATCGAGCAAAATCACAGCAGTGAGTGCCTGCTTCGTCACTGAAGACATGGAAGCGGCTCTTACGGCTCTCTGCAAGAGGATGTTCATTTTCTCTACAAATTTCTTGCGTTTTCTAGGGTTTGCAACGAAATGGATAAGCCTCAGAAATTGATGCGAGTTTATTCAGCTGATACAGTACCAAATGGATAATGGAGAGGATGAAAACCGTAAAGTAAAGAGAGAGAACAAATTTCTTGCGCTTTCTAGGGTTTGCAACGAAATGGATAAGCCTCAGAAATTGCTGCGAGGTTATTCAGCTGAAACAGTACCAAATGGATACGGGAGAGGATGAAAACCCTAAAGTAAGGAGAGAGAGAGAAAGATGGATGAGAGCTCTGAGCTTTAGAGAGAGAGTGCTTGACAAAAGAGGGAAGTGTGGTTTAGAGAGGTGACGAAACCCTCAAAGTTTCAGAGCGAGTGAGAAACCCTAAAAAGCTCAAAAAGTTAGGGTTTTACAGAGGAGAGCCCATGAATCGAGAGAGAGAATGTTATGGAAGCCGATGAACTTGCAAAACCTCCCTTAAGCCCTTGGAGAGAAGATATTTATGCGGTCAAGAGTGAGAGTTGGGAGAAGGTTAAGAGAAAATGACACATAAGACCCCTACCTTTGACTTAAATGGCAAGAGCATCCATATTCCGTACCAAGAATAATCTCCGGTTTTCGCATTTATAACCATAATATAACCTTCTCTTTTTTCTTGAGATAGTAGAAAAAATTCACACTTATTTTTAACCATTGGATGTAAAATGTTAAAGTATCCAAACACATTCTGATTAGGACTTTGTGTCTAAAGAATGGCACAACTTCAATCACTCGATTTCAAATTTAATGGTCAACAATGATTGTAACTTCCCTGTATCAAGAATAAATGGTCTCATTGTATACATTTCTTTTTATTAATCTCAAAACTAGGGGTGGCAATGGACCTGAAACCTAACTCGGAACCCGAGTGGCAGACTCGATCTAGTTATAGGTCCGAATTTAAAAATTGGACCCAATGTGTAGTAGTGTTGGGTCAGGTCGGGTCATGTCCATAACTTGGCTTGTATAACTGTCCGGGTCCAGGTCTGGTAATATTTTTTGGGTCTTAATATATGAAATATATTTAAATATAGTTTAACTACATAGATATTAAAATTTTTAGGAATGGGTCTTGATCCCATATTTTTTTTATTTTTTTGCCCGAGATGAGGTCTTAGTCCTTCCAGACCCAACCCCAAATCCAACTCGACCCGTTGCCACCCCTGAATCTCATCTCATAGAGCCCAAGCCATTAATACCATATTCGTGGCCTTGGATTGAGCTAACAAATATCAAACCACAATTATTGTCTATTTTATATTTATTAAAAAAAATATCTTTATATCCCATATTTTTAGGTTTTGTTTATTGATAAACCTAAAGTTTCAAAAAAAATATTTTAACCTCCGATCACGTTAAACCTATTTTTTAAGCTAAACAAATATGAAAATGACATGTCCTTTATAAACTCAGTAATTTCTCTCGCTTCACTTATATACCTCAAACTTCTATCTTTCTCTCTCTTTTGCATCTCTCACTCTCTCTCTATCCTCTCGTGTTTTTTCACCTCTCTCTCTTCTCCCATTAACCTCTCACCTCCATGAAGCCTTTATCTCTCTCTAAAAATTTGGGATTATGACTTTTACGAAATGCATATCTTTTTAGATTTGTTTTGCGTAAAAATAAACATGCTCAAATTTACTCAGAGGGTTAGAAAAAATGAAATCTACAATTTTTATGTCCCAATATATCTTTTAAAATAGGGTGCAGATGCATCCGTAGCTGTAAAGGTAAGATGCGCCTTCAAAATTTATCATGGTATATAATATTGATGTAAAATATTCTTAAGATTATCTCAAAATCTAATTTTATATCTAATTGTCAAATTTAAAATTAAAAAAATGGTTAAAATCAAGTAAATCTATAAACATATGAAAATCTTGAAAATGGATTGTGTAGATAATATGTTGTAAAATGCATTGTCTATCAGACTTAAAATCTTTTTATTTTTCATGGTCATACATCTCGATGTCAAGATGATCATCAAAGGGTTTTTCAACATTAAAACTACCTTTTTCGATGGATTTTTTACGTGCATCCGTAGTTCTATATTAAAAGTTGCATCCTCATATAAACTTTTTCCTTTAAAATATGGGTGCGGATTGTATAGAGCCTAGGCTCTAAATAATCAAATTAGAGCCTACCTTCAAATAGTGTCGAGAAATGTGGTTTTCATATTGAAAATCTTTGTGATAGCCTTAAATTATATTTTTTTATTAATTTATAAAAATTAAAGCTTCAAAATAGTTAGATCGACAGATCTATGAAACCCTGAAAATCTTGAAAATTGACGGTTCAAAACTTGAAATCCATTTTTTTTTCTCATGTCCGTGCTTCTTGATGTCGAGGTGATGAATTTGAAGATATTTGGGCATCAAAACAACCTCTTCTAGTGAAATTTTCAAGGTAGGCTCAAATTTGATGTTTAGAGCTTCAGCTCTATATAAACTTTTATCTTCAAATATTGAGTCTATTGTGAAATAAAACCTCAAAATAAAGAGTATGGAGATATTTTCCCTTTATTAAACCACGGTCAGGGTACGAACAACTTTAAGTTAGGACCCGGGAAAAAAAAATAGGGTTAGCAATTGAGGGGTTCGGAAAAGGTGGCAACTTTGAGTAAAAACAATAAAGGGAATTTGAGTGACCTATCCTTTAATCTGAAAAAATATATTTCTTTCTATAATTAATATGATTTGGAATTTTTATCAAGATGCTCATAAAATATGGGTCAAGATGCTCATAAAATATGGGTTGTTTAATAATTTATTTTTTGTAACCATTCGAACAAGCTATCATGAATCTTTGAAGGATATTTTCAAATTAAGCCAAAATTTATGAGAAGAATGTCAAATAGTTTATCCCTCACGGATATTTGGATAAAGTTCCGAAAAAAATTATTGCAAATTTAGTTAAGAAGTTGAGTATTGGATGTTTAGTTATAGATTATTTTAATCAAAGATGAGTATTTCGTAGGATTGTGGTTTTATAATCTCACATCTCTTAACTTGTCAGAAAACACAGTTTTAAGTGTCATAAAACCTACAAATCAATTATAGCCACCTTGATGTTAGAACATAAAAAAATACTTATTTAAAAATGGTTGAACTACCTATTTTGAGGTTCCACATATTTGTGCCATTTTTACAACTTCAACATATACAATCCATGGCAAAAATGGATTAAGACAATCCAACACTTAGAATGTATTTTCTCCCAAGGCTTTTTTGTGCATGGCTCTGCTAATAAGAGCCCAACAAAAACACTGCCCTTTCGGCCAATAAAAGCCCAACAAAAACACTGCCCCTTAGTAAATACCTTATAATTGTCTAAACTTAAGATTGAAGTTTTGAAGGTTTGTCTTCACTAGAAACTTAAATCACCAGTCTTCAAACTTCATATTATTAATTTTAAAGATACATGTTTTGTTTTTTTGAGAAAAGGGTTGAGGTCGTGGCGGTAGTGCCCCACACCCTAGTCACCACATTATGGCCTCCATTCCCATTAGTACCTTTAAAAAAGCTACTTGAAAAAATGTGCAAGCCCCCAAAAAAACAAAGAAAAAAAGGATAAGTATTTTTTTTCATGGTTTTTACCGTATCAAGATTGTAGCTATAATGACAAATTACTAGACAAGGAACTGAAACTTATAACAAAAAAATTCATATAAAACTACAACTTTATTTGCAGAAGCGAGGTTGCAGTAATCTATACTGTTTATTTTATTTAAACAGCATGGATTTCATACTATATTAAATGATAAGCCACTTCTGACAGTGCCTTCAAAGGTTTATCAAATCTACATTTATTGACAATGTCTTCTGCTATTAAGTTTGCCACTTCATCAAAATCGAACACACGTTTTCATAAGAAAATATTTAAAATGGGATGTTCATTTGGATCATGATTATTGGCTACAACAAAATAAATGGCAATTACATTGGGTCGGGACCTTTTTGACATTTTAGCAGAGGGTCAGGGCATCCCGATATTTTCTCAATACAGCAGGACATAGTTTAGTTCTTAGGTTGGTGAAGCCCTAGGGTCGCACCTGGACCTGAATAGTATTCGGGTTCAAGTTTTGGACCCAAACTCAACCTGTCGGGTCCAATAGTTGGACCCGTACCCATACCCATTAGGTCCCAGGTCTGGTTGTGGTCGGGTGAGTCCATTGCTGCTCTCACTATGAGCTTATTTTATTTTCTTTTTTTTGCCTTTTTTTTACATTATATAATCATATTGTTAGCAATGAGGTCACAATCACCTGCCATTATATTTCAAGCTATCCGATTTATTTTTTAATAGCCAATGTTGACTACGAGTTCTTATTGTATACGATCCTTAGTATTCTCAAACGAATATGGCTTTAAGTATTTTATCTCCAACATTTTACGGGTACGGATCAGGTCCAATTGGACTTGGACCCGGACCCGGACCCGAATAATGTTCAGGTCTAGGTTTTGGACCCAGACACAGCCCGCCAGGTCCAAATGTTGACTCATACCTTGACCCACATTGAGTATAACTGACATGGGCTCAGGGTCGGGTCCAGGTCCATTGCCACCCATACGAAGACCCCACGAAGAGGCTGAGATATTTATAGTATAGACATAAAAATGGAGCGCATGGCAGAAACATAACTATACTACGCCACATGTCCGAGTTTGGACCGGGCCGTTCACGAGTCAATCGCAAGTCTTTCTCCAATAAAAATGAGAACTCCAAAAGCAAGTAGTTGCTTACAATTTTGGGATTGTATATTGTAAGCCCTCGATCGGAAGGTCACAATCAATCCTTGTAGTTTGATGTAAAAATCAAGCGGCTGGAAGTGTGCCACAAAGTTTGAAATTTTTATTTTGATTTTTAAACACTATTATCGTCATATTCCCAACCCTGTGGTTTTCTATCTAGTGACTAAAAATGATTGGCTTGTTTTAAATGTAAAAAGTTTTAATTTTCCAACTATTACGAGGCATTCAAACTTTGACCTCCCAAGAAGAAAGGCATTTTAACTTGTTATACTAAGCGCTCGATGGTAGCATATGTAAGGAAAAAGTTTATATTATTGAAGATTGATGTCTTGTCTTATGAGAAAATAGATTTGTCAAGGTGAGTCAAAGGGAAATTTTTTTGTATATGTGCATAGGGTGTTTTGGTAATTTGTACCATCTGTCTGGGACTATATATATATTGTTGCCATGGGGTTCTTTTAAGGTCAAGGAAAAACATATATATCTTTGTAATAATAAAGTAAAAAGAGGCGTGAGGTAGATAACCATTGTAACCCTATTTTCCATTGCTAGTAAATAGCATCTCCCCGTGGACATAGGCATGTTGCCAAACCACGTATATATTTGAGTTGCGGTTTGTTGTCTATTTCTTTTGTATTTGTTTTTTTTCTTATTTCGTTGATTGCTTTTCATTTCTACATATATAATGAGCAAAACTTATACCATCGAAGTAAGGTTCTGATATTGGGAAGCCCTCCAATTAATTATCTCGACCTTGACATGTATGACTATAGAAAAAAATAATTTAAAGTCTCAGGATAATAAATATGATTATAAATTATCTAATTTAGTATTTTCAAAATTTTAAAGTATTTGTAAATTTGCTCGATTTGCGTCATTTTTTAACAATAAAACTTCATAAGTAAAGATTAAAATATATTTCCAGGAAATAATAAGGTTTTATGGAGCTCACAGTATGAGCAGGGTATATAAACCCCATCCTTGTAGAAACTAAGTTTTAAAATCTGACTGGATCGAGCCTGCCATTTTTACAATGCAACTAGCAGTCAAATGGGACCAATTTCTTTATTTATTTATTGAACGAGTTCATTCCATAATACAAATTTGCGGAAAATAGTTATAAACGCCGATCCGGATTGGGAATCACTTATTTGATGGGTGGATGGACTGGTTCTTGGTCCCCTTAATAAAGATAATGATATTATTGCAACTTTATTCCTTTTTTTTATCTTTCCAACCAATCACAATTGTCAATTCATCCAATCATAATTATCCAAGTTTTAAAATATCAAAGGTGTTGTCCTCTAATATGAATTGTTATTTACAATAGGAATTGTCTACAAAAAGATCATCTATCTTTTGTACATGAAGGTTACAATCATTCATACTAATTAGATGTTAAATTTGATTCCTTAAGAAGAGTCACGAAGTTCGAGAATAATTTTTTTGGAAATTTGTGTTTATTCATTGACACTCTTACAACCATTCATTTTGAAATTTAAGAGACAATAATAATTGTGACTTCCATGTATAAAAGACAAATAATATTTCTGTAGACAATTGTTTTACAATAACATCCAGTTCGCATATGTATAAATGCGGGCCTCTTAATAAATCTATTTTTGAGATGTTTTTAAGAGTTAATTTGCAAGGACATGTAATCTCTAACATAGAGATCATGAATATGAAAAAATAAATAAATTTGTATAACAACATGTGAGTACAATACCTCCCCTCTAAAACTCCTTTCAACCCCATCTCATATGAAAATTAAACGAAGTGAGATTTGAATCGTGTTGGAATCGTATTTGTTGAGTTGATGAAGATTAGAGAGAAAGGGAGAAAAAAGATTTAAAAAGAGAAATAACAAATAACAAAATTAGAGAGTGAAATAAAAGATAAAAAGATTTGAGAGATAAAGAAGAGATAAAAAAATTTGAAAGATAAATAAGAGATAAATATTAAAAAGAATTAGAGAGAAAAAAAGAGAGATAAACATAAAAAAACTAAAGAGAAATAAGAGATAAACATAAAAAATAATTAGATAGATGAAAGATATAAATACAAACACTACGGGATAAATATAAAAAGAAGAGATAAACATAAAAGAATTAGAGAGATGAAAGAGATAAATATAAATAGAAGAAGAAAATGGTTAAAGAAAATAAATATATACACATAAACATAAAAAAAATTAGAGAGACAAAAGAGATAAATATAAATAGAAAGATAAAAGGGTTACAGAGAATAAAAAAAATGGTTTACGGGATTTCGAGTGCTATATAACATGGGTTGGTTTTCATGGTACTTAAAATGCTGAATAACATGGTAGGTTTACGACATTTCAAATTGCTGTATAATATGGGTTAATTTTTATGTTACTTAAAATGCCTTATAACATGGGTTAATTTTTACGGTACCATAATCGTGTTTCACAGTAATACGATTACCGAACGTTATTTTGGTAAAGAAAAATGCCCAAAATTGAAAAAAAACGTGTTGGCGAGGTTAAAAAAACGTGTGAGCAAGGTTTGTGAAAGTGAGCCAAATTTGAACAAGAAGGGTGTGGGGAAGGTTTATGAAAGTTGAAGGTTTTTTTTTAAATAGACGAAAAACGTTATTTTGGTAAAGAAAAACGCCCAAAATTGAAAAAAAATGTGTGGGTGAGGTTAAAAAAATGTGTGGCTAAGGTTTGTGAAAGTGGCCCAAATTTGAACAAGAAGGGTGTAGAGAAGGTTTATGAAAGTTAAAGGTTTTTTTTTCTAAATAAACGAAAATTAATGTGTATTTGTGATAATTTCCCTATGATGTTTAATATTTTTTTTTGGATCGCAGACAATGAGACTATTTACCTTTGGTACATATAGGTCATAATTACTTATAACCATATGATATAAAATCTGATAGTTTGGGTGTGTTACAAAGTTTGAGAATATTTATTTTGAACTTTGAGCTTGGTCAATGAAATAAATATAGCCACTCAATTTCACATCCAATGATCAATATTAATGTGACCACTTTGTACCAAATATAAATGTCCTTATTATATATTTTTCCATTTTATAATTAGAGGTGAGAATAATTTTCCAAGCTATTATAAAGAGGATGTGGTTTGCATAAGGTTCCAAATTTAAACAATCTAATTAAAGCGTACCTCGAAATTTTATTATAAATATAAAATTGATATAAAAAATTATTAAGATGATTTGAGAATCTATTTTCATATCTAGTTATAAAATTTTAATAATAAAAATAATTTAAATCAAATATAAAATCTTGAAAATAGACAGTATAGTTAATGTAATGCAAGATACACTATTTCACTAAATCAAAATCTTTTTATCTTTTCATTTTCATACATCTCGAGCCGATCGAGGGTTTTCCCACATCCAAATAATATTTAATGATGAATTTTTTAGGTGCACCTTTAATTCTGTTGCAACCTTATACAGGCTTTTTTCTTATAAAGATTGATCATATTAAAAAATAAAAAGAGATGACGATGTTTAGAGCCTCAGCCCTATACAAACACATGAAAATTCACGCGCCCGTTCTTGGAGTACCGCGATGCTGCAGAAGAAAAAACCTCTTTCGGGAATAAAAAAACGAAATGAAAACACAAATTAGAACTTCTTAGAGAGGAAACACTCCATTTTTCCCCATTCATCTCATCAATTTCCTTTGATTTGGGAAAAGAGCCCCAGAGATACGCAGAGTTTCTTCTATTTGCCCTAATTCTTCTTCCAGTATCATTTTGTTCCCCTTTGCACTTGAAGTTGCAGGCGTCGCCTGTTGCTCCTGGTAAGCACAATTTCTCTATCTACAAGACCATTTTTCGCTCTATCTAAGAAGGGGTACTGCTCTGGATCTATGAATTTACTGGTTACAATCTTTTCTGGAAGTTTTATTGACACCTATCTCTCTCACTCTATCGATCTTCATTCATATGGGTCTGGATTATCTCCATCTCTCTATCCCTCTATTTATTTGGGCCTGGGCTCTCTCTCTCGCTGTTTCACTCCCCTGATGATTTCATATGATGCATTTCATGAAAACCCAGTCAAATTGGAAGGCAGTGAATTATTGCGGCAATTTATGATTTCACTGTTAAAATTTTGCAAATGAGCTCCGTCTCTCTCTTATTGGTTCTCTAGTTTGCGCTATCCCTTGCAATATGTCGATCGATTCCCTATGATTCATACCATTCATATAAACATGACTCAATTGAATAGGAAATAATAAGCAATGTTAGTGGAGCATGGCTATCACCATTAGAATCCTCTGGATAAGATTTGATATGCTTCCTTTCCTGTAACTGATACTGAATGGACCTAATTTCATGCCTTACAACAGCTAAACCTCATGCTTAAATCCTCGAAAAAAAAGTTAGTATATACTGCCTAATTGTAAGCCGGGTTAATTCTATATTCTCTGCAGTTCTATTTATAACATCAGCCTGGTGATGATTTGATAAATTTTCGCCGATATGGATGCTTTTGCAGTTCCTTTTAGATGTTAGGGTTCAGCAATTTCAATTTTTATCAGTTGGGGGGTGTCTGGTTTATTGATTACAGTATAAGGGCCACACTACTAAAGCCTGAGGTTAAAAAATATAAATTTACTCAAATTTTACTAGTTTAGCAGGTTTGTTGTTTCATTTTAATGCAGCTTTGAAGAGATTTTGGTTATTGGGTCTGTTATTTATTTATTTATTTTGAGGAAAAGGTTAACTTATTGGGTATGTTATTTTTTTTTATAACTTATTTGACTTGAAAAATAAGAATTATTATTTGCATGTAGTTTAGGATTTGAAATGAGAGGGGATCCTCGCCTGAAAAGCTCAAAGAGAAGGAAGAGCTCTCACAAGAGGAGTCAGAGCTTGTCATTGAGCCCTGATAGTGAATACAAAGAGAAGAGAAAGAAAAGTTCACATAGGAAGAGTCAGAGTTCATCATTAAGCTCTGACAATGAATATGAGGAGAGGAGAAAGAAAAGTTCACACAAGAAGAGACAGATCTCATATTCAAGCTCTGATAGTGAATACGAAGAGAGAAGGAAAAGGCACCGAGACAGGAGTCGGGACAAAGAGATTCGTAAATCCAAGAAAGAGAGAAGAGAAAGAAAGAGAAACAAGCATAAGAAAGCTAAGAAAGATTCACAGGATAGTGTCTCAGAGCTTTCTAATGATTCGCAACTAGAATTGGAGGACCCCAAGGAGATTGTTTGTTACATCCTCCACAAGTTTCCGGACCAGACCGGGGATCTGAAACAGGTAAACTCGCCTGCTTGTTTCTTATTACATGTTTACACTCTTAGAAATTTGGCTTGTGTATGTTATTAATTTTTCAGTAAGGGCAAATATACCACACAGTGACACAGAGGCTGTGTACGATATATGGTACACAACCTGTGCACCCACCATCTGTTCATAATGCCGGATGGTGGGCATTAACCACACCCTGGAGAATGTCCACTGTAGGACCTGCATTTATCTCCATTCATAGTGGGCAAAGATAGAGGATACCCTGGATGTGTACCATAATCAGCTTGTTTATGGTTATCTCTCGTTAATGCTGAACCATGTCATGGCCTTAAAATAAAATCACACCCTCCACCCCCCTCCTCTTTTTTTTGATATGGTAACAGTGGGAATGGAGGGCGATCACACCCCCAATTTGACTATAGAAGGGGGAAAAAGACGCCATATTTTTTGATTGGTACCACATTCTACTGATTTATTAATTGTCTATTATTTTATTGATAATTTCGTTCAACCAAAATGGTTTTGGCGTTAGGTAATGTACTTGGTGGCTTTATTAATGGAAACTAGGACCAGTTTGAAATCCCTTTGACAACATGTTTTGGCGGCATGCTAGGTATAACACAACATGTAGTCAACTGGGGAATACATTCACCTAAAGAGGCTCTTTGGGTTGCATACAAAAGAGATGCTCTTTCGTGGGCAATATGAAAACAGAGAAGCCTGTATTTTGATGGGCATGTGTGTCCATCCATATAAGCGACAATACTGGTCCTTGGTATTTATGATGATTTTACCTAGCATTCATTTGCATTTATTCCTAGTGATTCATCTCCTAGAGTGATTGTTTCGATTGCGCCTAATTTAATTGTATTTTACCAACTTGATTTTTCCTTGTGATGGATATTTTGTGGTTTGTGAGAATACATGTTTTATTGACTTGCCTATCATATTAGGGAATATAAAACATATTTGACTAATTCCTAACTATCTAATCTGAAAGTCTGAATGGACGACTAGGATATCTTAAGTCATAATGCCACAAATTAGCCTTTGAGCTGATCAAACAATTCTGAGTATTTTATATTTTTATTTTTGAATCATTTTGACATGAAATTTGGGGTGTGCTTCTCATAGGGGCTCACCTGATAAAAGCAACAAAAAATATGTTTGATGAAAATGACCAAAATACCCTTATAACTTTAGGCGTATTTTGGTCATTTTATTTTATCAGAAATAATTTTTATTTATTTTTAGGTGCATCACTACAAGGAGTAGGCACACTCCAAATTTCATGCCAAGATGATATGTAGAAAAAATAAAAAATAAAACACTGCTAGTTGTGAAAATGTGGTTGAAGTAATCTAAGTTGTCCATTAGATCGGACTGTTACATGTAAAGGTTTTCCATCAGATTTAGAGGATTAGAGGAAATCAAGACTTGTGCTCTTCCACAAGAAATTCACTCTTTCTCATGAAAATAGCTGTGTTTTTTGTTTGAGGCAAAAGGTCAAGATGTTCACCAAATTCATAGGGACAGGATTTAAAGGATCTCATAATTTCATGCAAAATAAAATAGGAACTATGGTTGTGAATGAATGATGCTTTTTTATTAAATATAGCTGTCTGGCAATGTTTTTAATTTGGAGATTTACCTGAATGTTGCACTTGTTTAAGACTTTAATTTAATCAATAAATTCTTGATGAGATATTTCCCTTTTTCAAGTCCTTTGGTAAATTGATAGTATTTTTATAGGAAGATGATTCATATATTCTAAGATTGCAATTAGTAAATCATGGTTTCCATGCTTATCTTTCTCATTTGATTTATTTGTTGGTCAGATCCTTATTTAGCACCCTTTTACTCTGATTGATTATGCTTTGCTACAGCTCTTGGAAATGGTTGATGGTGGACAGGCTATAGACATTAGTGGCATGTCTAACCGTTTCCTATCGAGAATTCTTAAGCAACTATTTATATCATTGAATCTCCAACGAAATGAGAGTGGCGTTTTCTTTTTGCCTCCAAAGGTTTGCCCTTGTTTGGAGGTTGTAGGGTCTTTATTCATGGCTCCAAAATCCAAGGAAAAACAGTCGCCTCCTCAGATTGGAGTTTCAATTGGGGTTGAATCTTATAATTTGAATTTGGAAGGTAGAGGAACTGAATGCCCAGATGATGTTGGTTCATTGATTGGTCCACGTAATAAAGATGATTCTCCAGCTGTTTCTAAAAGAAGGTACATTCCTGTATATGTTGATGTCGTAGTTCATTTTTTCGTTGAAATGGGGAGCTGTTTCTCTAGTCAAGATTGTCATTTTTACGCTGCTGAACAGACCTAAGTTATAGAGGCTTTTCCTTGTTGAATCTTGATGTTTGGTGCATGGAAATCTACACAGGAGAAGGCTCACTTTTGCATGCGCGACTTCTCGTGTAGTCACTTTTGTAGTTTGAATTAGTGTTCAAAAAGTTGGGCTCGGGCTTCAACTCTCTAGGGGCTGAGCCCCCTGGTCCAACTCAGGGAAGTCTGAGTTGACTAGGCAAATTTTATTACAAAAATTTTTAAAATGGTGAAAAAAAGGAGACTTGGGTGATTCCGGGGTTTTTCGGCTTGGAATCCCCTGGTCGGTTGATTCAAGTGAGTCCCAAGCCAGCTAGGTGATTTTTTGAGTATTGATTTGAACTTTATGGGTTGATCTATGTGGAAAAGTAATTAGAGAAAATTACGTAAATATCTTTTCTATTTACCGTTATTACAATAATCCCCCGTATGTTACAAGTAGTACGTTCATACCCAATTTCCTTTTTTCTATTTTTTTCGTGAAAGTTCCCTAACTTCGGACTTTGATAGTCGAAAGTATTCAAAGGGGCCTTCCTTCAAAAGAAAAACTTAAGTTGCCTGTGTATTATTGTTCAACAAGCAAACCTTGGATTTTGAAAGTCTGACGTTGTTTTTGTATTCTCGAACTTGTTTTCTGAATTGTCTTTCAAAAAACGCTTCGGAATTCCAAAATCTGAGGTTGTTCATCAAAAAAGCTTTGGATTTTGAAAATCCGGGGTTTTTTGGTCCTCAATGGTTCTTAGTATTTTTGGCCCTCAAAGACACCTAAGGGACTTTGATAAACTTCTGACCTTCAAAACCCGAATTATGGGCATTTTTGTCAATTTCGGAAAATTTCCAACAAATTTGGTATCTGGGACTTTTGAAATAATGCTACTTTAGAGGGATATGCACGTTAGCTACTCAAGTAATTACTATATATTATGGTGTATTGTTGATGCAGGGTGATTGGTCCTGACATGCCATCAGCTGAGGTCTTAGCAGCAGCTGCCAAGTTGACTGAAGCAGAAGCCCAGCTGAGGTATTATTTCATAATTTATTTGATAAATTGTCCTGCAAAACTTTAGAAGTGATGCCCTCTAGCTCATTGTCTTATATAATCCTGCTCCAAAATTTTGTATATAGGATTTCCTTTTAACATATTTATTATCAGTTTGTCTTCTTGGAGAGCATATGATAACCCTATGGAGCAGTTGTTGAGAGGGGAATCCACCAGTCATTCTCAATTATGGACAGATATTAAATTTAACTGGGTGAATGACCTGATGAATCCTACTATATTGATTTGCTGTAACCAATACTTAATATATAGAAGTCAACCTTTTCTCAAAAAAAAAAAGAAGACCTGATGAGTCCTACTACTGTTATCTCTGCCATCCATGAGCTGGAACTGAGAGTGGGTTGCTTTTGGACTATCTATATGACTATACCATGCTCAGTTTATTGTAGGCTGATCCTCTTATTCTTGTCCTTCACTATTCTGCCTGTTTCATGAACTTACGGGATAGAACTGCTATTTATGTACAGAATCAGGCTCTCCTTGACACTGCCATATTCGGTGGAATTTTCAGGGAAGCTGAAATGGAATTGGATAATGACGGCATATTTATAGGTCCTCCTCCACCAATTATGGTTGCTGAAGCTGAATCAGCAAATGATGCGGAGCGCTTTGAGGAGGTATGGACTATGGAGCATGAAGGGATACCTATCTCATGCCAGATCATTCAATTTATGATCTCCTTTTATTTTTATAGTTCTGTAAGCAAACTGGAGTTGACTGCCATAGGCCCATAGTCATATGATTGATGTATTGATATTCCTTCCCGGTTACATAGTTTTCTGCTTGCATAACATCTACAATTAGCATTTTGTTATAGGAAAACACACCTTTATTCCATTAGGATATGGAGAACCATAGTTGATAACCACTCATTTGAATGGTGGATGGTGACAATAGAGAGTAGGGCGACCACAGCTGGATGTTACCATAACATTGGGTCCCACACTTTCCCCTACCATAAAAAGCTGTTCCCCTTAACTACACTTGTATATATATTGCTCCATTAACTAAACACCTAATTCAACTACCTCATTTCTCATTGTCCATCCATCCTCAATTACCAAAATGGAAAAAAAAGGAAAGAGAAAAAGAGTTCATCTGTTCGCAGAACATCACTTAAACAGATGGTTGTTCATTTCTTGAAGTTATGAATTCCATTGTGAACAGATCCTTTTCAGCCTTCCATATGCCACGTTTAGGCTTCATTTGCCAATGTGTCACTTCCTCCCCTCTTACTCTATTTATCCAGCTCTTCACTGTAAATAAGACAACACAAAAGGAAAAACCTCAGGGGTTCTTTTCTTTTGTATGTTAAAACATGGGGTGGCAGAAGTGTTTTCAATACCTGTATGTTTGTAAAAGTCAGTGGCAAATGGTGGTGTGTTGACATTAACATGTTCTTAAGCATATTGTACAAATAATGCATTTTGATCTTTACCCAGAAACAGTCTTAAGTGGATGAGACTTATGCCTATTGCTGCTTTCATTAACATGTTCTTAAGCATATTGTACAAATACTGCATTTTGATCTTTACTCAGAAACAGTCTTAAGTGGATGAGACTTATGCCTATTGCTGCTTTCTTTTTAGACGAAGTCTTGCTAGATTTTCTCTTGTTTTTTGGCCACTGTTTGGGGAGTTTGACTTGGACTAAGTATACTGAAATATTGTCTAGAGTAACTTTGAGTATAATGATTCTTCCACTGAAAGGTGAATACTATTTATTTCAAAGGTTTCTATACTTCCCCTACAGCATAGAAGTTCTATGCTTCCTCTGCCATCCAGCCGTCCAATTTTGTTCAAGAGAGCCACTCGCCATCTTAGATCTGACGTCTCAAAGTATTTTATTTTTTAGTTTTTTTTATACAAATTGTATGAATATGAAATTTTGTATGTGCCATCTTCTCATAGGAGCGCAACTATAAAAAATATTAAAAATAATTTTTCGATAAAATATAATGACCAAAATACCCCTTGAAACTTTCAGGGGTATTTTGGTCATTTTATTTTATTGGAAATTGTTTTTTTTATATTTTTCGCTAGTGTGAGTTTAATAGAGGATTGGACGTACAAAATTTGGTGTCAAAATAGTTTGTGGAAAAAAAATAAAAATAAAATAGTGTAGAGACGTGACATTGTGATTGGGGCAATCTTAGCCCTCCATTCAGAATGGACGGTTGGATAAGGGGAAGTATATAAGTTTTAAGTTGTAGGGGAAGCATAGAAAGCTTGCCCTTATTTCAATGTGCATTTCTTCTTTCATAATGATCAACCACCAGAGAAGACAAACTCTTTTAGCTTTACCATTTACAAAGTTCAATATCCATATGTCTGAAAGGGATCCTACCTGACACCCCAACCTTCTAGCCTGGATGGTCAATGGTTTGGCCTCCAAAAGACATATAAACTTCACATAAAGCCAAATATTTATCGGAAAACTTTTTTGCAAGATTATCGTAGTGCAAAATGTTTTTGTTGTTGATGTTTTTCTTCACATAATATACCATTACGTTGGCCAATTAGTCAGCCACCATCAGAATAGGGACTAAAGAGTTATGCATTGATGTTATCTTGATTGGTTGTGACATCCTTTATTTTCGTCTTAATGAAAAAAGGGCAACTTCTATTTACTTTGGGACTATGAGCTCATGGTTCTTCACATTTAAGAAAACATTCATTATATTCAATACATACCCCTTGCTTAGGAAAGCTGAGAAAGCATCTTTGGGATGGTACTGTTGAAAGATTTGAACGAAGGATGGCTAGTAATTCGAAAAAGACACGGCCATGATTTGGGGTGTGTGCCTTGAAGTGGGTGACTGCAAGGGCATTGGGGCCTAGGAATGTATCACCTTGGAGTATCTGCCTTTCTATACCTGAATTTGCTTCTGGGCTAAAAAAGGGGACTGTATACAACTTTGGAAAGATTGGTATGTGGGAGAGAGAGAGTTAGAAACCTTACTGCCTAATCGATATTTGGTGGCTGCTGAACAAGGTGCCATTTGTCAGATGCTTACAAAGTCCTCGGGGGCACGCTGTGTGGACACTGAGGCTCCATGGGGACCTCATGGATCAAGAAACTTGGTAGCTTCAAGAACTTTTGTCAGTCTTCAACTCCCATTTCATCCTTCCATGAGGCTGATATAGGATGATGTGGCAACCTGTCAAATTAGGACAATTCTCAGCGGCCTCTTCCAACAATCAACTTACTCAAAGTCAACCCACCATGGATGTGGCAAACATATCTGGTTTTCCCCTGTCCTCCCCAAGAACCAGGCTTTTTGTTGGCTAGTCTACACCAAAAGACCCTCTTTGTGGACCAACTACATCGTAGAGGGGTACGACTAGCTAATTGATGCATAATGTGTAACAGGATTAAGAAACTGTAAACAGCTTCTTTCTCCATTGCCAAATGGCTAGACAGCTCTGGTCTTCCCTTTTAAACCTGTTTGGCAATGTGTGGGTCTTCCCTAGGTGTATCCAGCAGCTATTGACTGTTCATCTTTTATTCCTATTTCCAGCCCATGGCCTTCTATGGAGAGCCTCTATTATGGCCCTTGTGCGCACCATATGGCTTGAGCATAAAAGGAGAGAAGGTCGAGACTCCCATGTACAGGCATTGAAAGATAGACTAATATTCACTTTTATCAACTGGGCCATTCTTCCATAGGAGTTCAGTTCATTCTCCAATTTGGATCTCTTACTTAATTGGCAAGCTATCTCAAGGTCCTCTCTTATGATACCCCTGGATCGGGCATCATCAAACTTAATATCGACAGGTGCTCTTTCAGTAGTCTGTGGAGGGCATAGGTGGAGTCTTCAGGAACAGCGAAGCAGCCACCTCTCTTGTCCTTTCCAGGATGAATTGGCAATGCTACAGTAAACACTTCAGAGGCACAATCTCTTTGAGCAATCATAGGGCTCTGCACTGGTGTTTGAAGGCGACTCCATGAATATAATCATTGGGTTAAACAGACCTCTCCTTGTCTCTGGTCACTGGAGCTTATATGTGGAGACATCTCCAAGTCCAAACTTTTTGCAGACCCCTTAGAATCTCCTTGAGCCACACGTGGAGAGAGGCCAGCACCATACCAGACAGCCTTGTAGAAGAGGGCACCGATTGCAGGACCCTAGCTATGCTTCACCCCCTGTCCTAACTGCAGCATTTTAGTGGAGCTCAGAAAAAAAAATTGCTATTCAATAGATGATTTTGTGTGTGTGTGTGTGTGTGTGACACAAATGAAGAAAGATTTCCTTCTATGCGACATATTATAATGGAGCTCTTTGTTTGGAACTACAAAGTTTTTATTTTGCATTACATTTCCTTATAACAATTGAACTGATGTCTTAATTATTTATCTGATGTTGGATAGGTGTCTCGTATCATTGGAGCTGAAGATAGTAACCCCTATGAGGTGCTTGGATTAAATCGAGAAGTTTCCGCTGAATTCATTAAAAAGAGGTTCTGCATTGTGAACCATTACCTGCTACTAGAAGATCTAATTATATATTTTCCACATTTACTGCTTCTATTCTTCATTATTTCCATCAGTGGAATCTTATGATCTGCAAGTACATCAAAGCAGGACCTGCCTTTTGGTTCCTCTTATTATTTTTATGCTGCACGGTTAAGTCACTACTTCAGATACCCTTCTAGAAGACTATTTACGGATTATTATGCAATAATCTGGAAATGAATGTGAAGCAAAGCCATGTTTTTTGTATCTCAAATGAATTTTTTAGTTTACTTCCATAACTACCCTGTCCAAAAGAGTATTAAATTCCCAATTTAACTGTGAATGATTTGCACTTCGATCAGGTACTGGAAAATGTCCCTTTTGGTGCATCCGGACAAATGCCCTCATCCTGAAGCACAACAAGCATTTGTCAAGTTAAATCAATCCTTCAAGGATCTGATGGATCCTGAAAAGGTTTGTATTTTTGGGCAGTTGTTTTAGACAATTATTAATCATTTCTGTGGTCCTCTTTCCTTGTTTGTCGTTCTATTTATGACTAGATAAATGGCTAATCTATTACCTTTTAACATAAGTATGCTTTATAATTGTCTAAATTTGTGATTGTATAATCCTGTACTATTGTAGTATCGGTATTATGCGTTTCCTTGCCTTTGCCAGCTTGTTCTTTGGTTTATACTTGTATTGTCGTATGAGAGTTGACATTTTTCTTTTGATAACAGCGAGGGGTTATTGATGAGAAGATCAAAGAAAAAGAAGAATTAGAGGAATTTAAGGTCTGTCACGTTCTCCTGTAGAAGTTTCTGCAGACTAATCCAACATCATTAGTTATTTGTTTATTTGTAAATGTTTTTTAATTATGGTAAATGCAAGTTACTGTTATTCTAGATGATGTTCTTTTTGAAATATTCTTTACATGTTTGTTACTCTGAAGGATTATACCCTGTAAGTAATCAATGTTTTCTTATTGTATTCATTAAGAAGAATGGTATATGGTACTCAAAAGGGGCATCCAGATGATTAATGGTGGAGATTAGTTATTCCTGGGTGAATGTTCCTTGGACCCTATTATGGTAAATCTCCACGTTTCACCATCGAGGCAAACGGTGGATGTTCATTTAGAATTCCATAAACGTTACTTCACTGGCACATGGTTCAATTCCCTTTAGATTTTCTTTGTTTATGTGCAAGATTTGCCTAAACATTTGTTGGGATGATAGGCCGAAATGCAGGCATGTCGTGAAGCTGCACATTGGAGGCAAATACGAGGTACAGCTTAGTAATTCTAAAATGCATACAATGGATTTGTTGATAAAGAAGTTTGCTATGTAGATCTGTTTTTCTAGCACTTTTTATGATTGTATTTCTCATTATCATTCGTAAACCAGTGCATCTTGCTTTTGCAGCAAAATTGGGATCTAACCCAGTAGAGAATTGCTTGGAAGCTTATTGATTCTTGGAAGCTTATTGATTTGTGCTTCTAGTGATAAAAAGTTGATTATTTAGAGTAGATACTGATTTGACAGCAATCAACCTATGGGCATGAAAGATGGAGTTTTGAAGTCAGACAATACTTAGCAAGCCTTCCATTACACATTTTTTCTGATAATGGAGTTTTGAAAGATCATGGTTGTTCTTGTTATTTGTTAATGCAATTGTGGTGTTTGGTATTGTTGTTGTTGGCTTTAGTTATACTCCTAATAAAGTCATGGTATTTTGTGTGTCTTGACATCGAAGGAGGCATCCATGTTGTCATGTTTAATGAAAAATTTAGACAAAGAAATATTTAAAGTAGGGGCCTAAATGCTACCAAGTTATGACATAAAATTGTTGTTCGATGATTTCATCATCCTCAACCGCAAATTGTATTTCCATTTTATATCAGCTATACATATCTGATTTTTTCACTGCATTTTTTTAGACAAATTCAAAATATTCATGATTCTTTATCTTACGTAATTTTTGGTGATTTGTATTTTTGTCCCATTTTTCTACTCTAATTTTTTGGATTGGTACAGTTTAATACGAGTTTTTGGGTTTACTGATATGTTTGTTATTCCCTGACTTGCTATGATTCACATTAGGCCATGGACATGATTGAACTACTAAAATTTTGAATACTGGAATCTAGAGTGACATATTCTCAGTCTTTATGTTCGCTAACTAGAAAGAAAACTAATTCTAGAACCTAAAGGCTCCAACCCATTACTGAATGACAAGAGAGAGAGAGAGAGAGAGAGAGAGAGAGAGAGAGAGAGATTGGGATTGACATGCAGATAATATTCCCATGCAGGTGAGTCTTTGCCAGGTGATGAGGAGTTACTCGGTGGGATTAAACCACCACCTAAGCGAGAAGAGTGGATGACTACGCTTCCTCCTGAAAGGAAAGTAAGGGTCTCTCTCTCTCTCTATATATATATATAGGTATATAGGAAATGATCTCATGTCACCATGTCATTATAATATAAGAAATCATGTTTGTGGCATTTATATGACCTCAAATTTTGCACACACTCTTTCTTCATCCCAATAATCAATTAAAAAAAAGATATAATTCAATTTATAGGGTCAAAGTGAGTCCCCTCTAATATTGAATCTAGATCATCCCATTTGGTGAATTCAAGATCTAGGCCTTTATGAACTCAAAATCAATTTGTTCTTTTTGAACTTTGTTAATCTAATGATAATAAAGCTTATTTAAAAAATTTGGAAAGGAAAAAGATCCTTCCAAAGCCTAGAGATCTAAGCATCCACTAAGATGGATGGCCTATATTAATTGGGCTAAAAAAACACTTTCTAGGGTGTTTTCAAATTTTACTTTTTTGTGATTATTTATCAGAATGGCAAGAGTATATATTTAAAATTTGGGATCAAACAAATGGCCTTAACATGGTTTTTGTAGATTGTTTCATTATATTACTATAGAACTCTTGCATGAAAATACTATCCAAATCCCATATGCCCCACATACACCATCTTCAGAAAGACCATTTAAACTAGAATAGTTTGAACCCAAACTTTGGGGATGGTCTTAGAGACAGAGGGCACACACACACACACCCAATTTTCTCTCTCCTCAGATAATCTTTTTTGTTTTCTCTTCTATTTTTAAATTTGTTTTCATGGGCATGTTTGCCAAGTCCAAGTGGAAGTGGGTGCAAAAGATGGTTAAACAAGTGGAAAAGTATAGTGTCGACATCAGGTGGACTCTTGAATGGTGCACAATACCCTCACAACTGTTTATTTTAATTTAATTTTTCTCTATCGATTGGAATAACTTAAATTTTGGGCGTTCACAGTTTTCAATCAGGTGCACCATAGAAAATATAAAAAAATAATTTGAGAAAAATAAATTAACTTTACCCCTAAACATTTAGGGGTATTTTGGTCATTTTTTTTAATTTTCTTTTTTTAAATATTTTTTAGGTGCTCCTAGTTGTGATGCGCACGCCTGCATAATTTCCTTTAAATTTAATATGTAGGAAAAATAAAATTACTAAACATGACCTTGGTCATCCATTTTCTTGCCTTCTAATCTAAACCGATGGAGGGTCCTTGTCCATCTTCCGAGCATCTATATCATGTGGATGCTATACCATTCCTATACTAATATCATTTCATTTAAGGGTGCCAAACTTGGACATCCTTAGCTCGGATACTTTCGCGTGTTGTTGGCATGGTATTGTAACTGACGTAAGAGAAAGGATCATCCTTTTGTAAATTTTCTCTGATCGTGGTATTCACTTTCATTTTAATTTATTTGTTCAGGCTGGTGTGAGCATGCAATCAATGTCCTTCAGCAAGGGGGGCAAGGAAGGTCGGGGTGATACAAGTGTTTGGACAGACACTCCTTTGGACAAAACCCAGAAAGCAAGGATGAAGTAAATTTCTGTTCTTATTTTATATCCTACTGGATGGCAACTTATGTTAAAAAGTTCCAATGAAAATTGATAATGATTAAAAAGAACAAATAAAACATCTCATTTTAGAAAAACCTATTTCTTCTTCTTCTTTCCTATTTTTTTTTCCTATTAGGAAACCAGCGTTTCCAGCCAAAATGCCGCCCCCCATGACATCTAAGCACATTCCCCACTTAATGATGGGATATTCGGGCCACTTCTCAGAGAGAGAGAGAGAGAATTGGTGGCAATGGACCGAGAGGTGGCAATGGACCGGGACCCGACCCGGGACCTGAGGGGTAGGTCCTATCCGGGTCTAACCATGGGTCCAAAAATTGGAACCAGCGAGTCGGGTCCAGGCCTAAATCTTGGACTTGAACACTATTCAGGTCCGGGTCCGGGTCCGGGTCTAGTAATATTTTTGTTGACAAAGTTACATAGGAATGAAACTTGATACGTTGGGCTATGAAAACCTAGCCTCTACCGTCTTAACCCAAGCCCGTTTCCAGTCTGGTAATACTTTTGGGGTCAAATATATAAAATATATTTAAATATAATCAAATACATAGATATTTTAATTTTTGGGTTGGGTTGGGTTTGGGTCCCACACTATATTTTTTGGATCCACGTCCAGTGTATTTGGGTTCGGGTTCGGGTTGGGGTCCAATTTTTGGGACCCGTTGCCACCCTCAGAGAGAGAGTTGTTTAGCCTTTTTTCCGTCTTGCTTTTTTTTATCTTGCCTGAGGTTCATGGTGGTGGAGCCTTGAAACAGGGTCTTTTTTGGACAAACTATTCCACAGCCCTTGCTTCAAGGGCAAGAAGGAAAGACTTTCCTGCAATAAAGGGCAAGAAGGAAAGACTTTAAAGGCTGAAGCGTGAGTGGGAGAGAATCCCCAAAAAAGGGATATGAGTGAGAGGAAAGCTACTACGAATATTTGGAAGTTTTTGAGTTTACAGTATGGTTTTCAGCAAATAAAGGAATAATCGAAAAGGGAATTTATCAAAATTCGTATAAGAGATGGACTATTAAACATTTAAACCCATTAGTGATGATGGACTATTCAACACATTATCCATTTGCAACCATTCTAGCTCATGATCATGTCTTTCTATAGGTATTTTGAAATTAAGTTAAAAAATATAGGTAGAATGTTAAATAGTTCATCTCTCATAAGTATTTGGATAAATTTTTTTAGGAGAGATTAATACACTAAGCAATTTAGTATTGGAATTGTTTGTTGGGGGTTGGGGGATGTGTATCGGCATCTTTGGAGGACAGAGAGAGAGAGGGGTCTAAGATCAACGACTTACCATGATGCAGCTACCTTGAGGCCTACGACCATGCCGCCGCTCTTGGTGCCAGTGATGGTAAGAAGGAAGCTCTGGCGAGGAAACGCGATACTGCCACGGCAGAAATCATCGATGCATACAATAAATCAAAGCGCTCGACTTCTCTTGTGGAGAAGCATAAACAAGAAGCAAGCAAGCCCAAGAAAAAGCATAAGGAGAAAGTGGTCGAAGAGTGGTCAGGTCAACACCCTTGGAAGCCATGGGACAGAGAGAAAGACTTAACCGCGGGGCGACAAAAAGTTCAGCTTGACCCCGAAAGCATGGCCGAAGGTCTCTCTTCCAGGTTTTCGTCCGGCTCTTTTCAAAGAAATTTCTTGTAGATGCTGTATTTTCGAGGGCAAGTTGTTATATAAGCTGTGGGTTTAGAGAAAGAATGTGTTTATGAAGGCAGTCATGGATTTCCATGATCGGCTTGTCATATGTTGATGGTATGATTGCACAGTCCAGATTTATGAGTACACTCAATTCATACCCATTTTATCTGTGGGTGCCATGTTGCTTTTCAGTTCAGGGGATTTACCATGTACTTGATGAATTTCATACTTGGGGCAGTGTTTTCCTGTATTATTTGTGCTATATGCTCTATGGGAATGTTAGGAGTGAAAATTTAGAGGATTGGCTTATGCTTCAAGAATTTCATATGTTAAGAATTCTTAGTTCACTGAATGGATATTGGGTGTGGATGCAATCACTATACCCACCTCATAACCAAGTTGATTTTATCTACCAGTCTAGAGAGAGGAAACCACGTGTTTATGAATTTTGTTACAAATGACAATTAAGAGCTCTCATAATGTAGAGTGGATCCAGGTATTCAAGGAAGGGTTTGCATAATCTTTGCTATTGAGTTCTACATAGATTTGATCCTTGCTATACTAATATCCTGACTGTAAAAGCCTATGGCAATCCTATCATTTTAGTGGAAGGCTCTTTTCGGGTGTTTTTTCCTAGAATTTGGTATATGAAATTGCCACCTCTCTCTCTACATAAAAGAACTATCGGAAATTGTATATAATGATACCATTTGCTTTTGATACAAGAAGGTTACAATTATTGGATATGAAATTAGATGGGTGGCTATGTGCACTAATTTAGCACGAAGTTCAAAATAAATGTTCTCGAAAGCTGGGGTACATTTTAATATTGTAGATTTCATATCTAATGGTTAAAAAAAGATGTGATAGTCTTGTAAAGAAGTAATATTCTTGTAAAGAAGTAATATTCTTGTACAAAAAATGAATGGTCTCATAATATACAATCTCAAAACTCAATTATTCCATGTTTATTCATTTACACTAATTTCGGTCTACCCCAAGCTATCCGATCTTCATTTGAAAGTATTATTATTTGACTTTTAACGTTTTTTTTTACATGTTGGATTTATATGAAATTTAGGGTGTATTTTTATTCTTATTTTTATTTGAAATGTTGACTTGTGTGTAGCTCTCACCTTGCACACATGAAAAGAAGCATGATTTGAGAAAATAATATGGACCAAAGTGCGACCAAAATGTATGAAAGGAATTTTGGTCATTTTATTTTTTGAATTATTATTTTTTCTCATTTTTTGGTGCACGCAAATGAGCTTCACACAAAGTGATTTGTAGAAAACAATAAAATGCATTATCTAACACGCACTTTCAACCATCTGCTGGAGTTCACAGGACATAGACTAAAAATACGGAAGAAAATAGGCTATGATTTGTTTTAGGGGAATGATTTCATGCTTCTAAAAAATTATATTTATAGTATTTATATGATCTTAAATATTGCACTGACGCTCTCTTCGTCACAATAATTAATCTAAGAAAGAAACCAATAAGTTTGCATTTTAAATATGGTCAAAATGGTTAAAATGAGTTTTTTTTTTTTAATAATGAATTTAGGTCGTTAATTTGGTAAATTTTAATATCTAGGCTTTTATAAGTTGAAAATCAAAATTTTTTTAAGACATTTTTTTAAAGATATTACAGGCATTTAAAAAATTTGGAGCAGGAAAAGAAATCCCTTCTAAGAGCCTAAATCTAAAAAACACTTTTAAGGGTGTGTTTTAATTATTATTATTTTATAGTTCATAATAATGAAAATAATACATGTTTAAAAATTGAGATTAATTTTAAGATTATTTCATTATATTAGTATACAATTGTTGCATGAAATCGCTCCCTATATATAGGGAAAAAATTTATATAAGGTTGCAACTTTAAAATGTAGAATTAAGGTGCACCTCAAAAATCCATCATAAAAGGTTGTATTAATGTTGAAAAACCCTCTAATTGATTATCTCAACATCTAGATGTATGGATATCAAAAAATAAAAAAGACTTTGAGTCCCAAAAATAGTATATCTTGCAACACACTATCAAGACCATCAATTTTCAAGATTTTCATGTGTTTATAGATATGCTTGGTGTGAACCATCTTTGGAGTTTAAAATGTTATAATTAGAGATCAAAATAGATTTTCATGCCATCCTAAGAATTTTTGACACCAAAATTATATTTATGATAAAATTTGGAGGCACGCCTTAATTTGTTTGTTTATACAAACTACACCAGACTAAAAAATAAATAAAATCTTAAAACTGAAAACATTATTCTAAAATTGAATACACATCATGTAATATTAAGATGATCAGATCTAAATATTTAACAACTCAATTAGTTTATTCTAAAGAAGATCCCAAAATCTCATATCGAACAAACCAACTTATTCTAAGCTATGTCCCAAAATTTCATAGTGAAGAAACCCCTCCTTTAGTCCGAGAGAGCAAGCTTATAGTATGCTCCGACGGGAGCACCCTTTACTCTTGGGCTTGCTCAGTAGACCAACTGAAATGCACGCCGCTCGTTTCAATCGTTTCTTTCTTCTCCAAGTCATTTACTATACAGAGTAGGGGTATTTTAGTCATTGAGGTTGGAAAATAAACGGTCACTAACAAGCGTTTTTGCCGCCACCTCAACTAAACGACTGGCTTCAAACTTGCCGCGCCATGCTCTCCTCTTTCCCGCTGTCGAGAAGTTAGGGTTTCGAGTATCCATCTCTCTGTAACTCCACTTAATTAATTACGGTTTTCAGCTTTCATCTCTCTGCAATTTGGACTGAGATTAGGGTTGAGTCTCCTCTCTCAACTCCCTCCAAGTTGGACCGAAATTCAGGGTTTTCACTTCCTATACACCATTGCTCTGCAATTTTCACAAAAGAATATAGGGTTTCTAAGTTATCATTTACCAAAAAAGAGATCAAAATTATTACTTCTGGGTAGGCCTTTGATACGTTGGTTTCTGAGTAATTTAATTGGAAATTTCATATTTCTAGGTCACTCGACTGAGAGGTCTCTGGATGTCATTTCTATGCAACTCGATCAAAACTTTAGGGTTTTCCGGTTCTTTCTTTTGGAAACTGAGCCCGAAGTCTAGGGTTTCGAGGTGTCATCTATCTGCAGCTCCACAAAGGGATTATAGCCTAAAGATGAAGGTTGCAGTGATAGGAAGCGGGAGTATGTTCATGAACATTCGCCCTATAGTTTATTCCAATGCTTGTTTTCATTTATTCATGGTGGATCCAGATTATACTTACTTTTCTCATTGGATATTTCAATCTGATTTCAGTTTCAGGAGCTGTTTGTGCATCAACACTGGCAGAGAATGGTGTTTCGGTCTCTTTGTTTGAGTCCGGGAGAGGTCCTGGTGGTAGAATGTCTCAAAGAAGGTATTGTTCAAGTATTATTTTAGTAATGCGAAATTTCTTTCACTCTTTTCAGTGAAACAACTTGAAATGGAATTATCTATGTTTTGGACTTTAAGACCTATTTTGAGCTAGTCATGGAGGAAAAGATTCACTGTGAGACTGGAATTATTGTCCTATAGTTGAGTCCATTGAAACAGCCGTTAATTGGGGAATTACTGATGTTTATAATTGCCTTGCTTGTTTGATGATCGTTATTCTTATGATTCCAATCTGATATTCTGCTGAAATTATGGTTGCATTTTCACAGTTGTTTTGATGGCATTTAGTAATAAGGGATGCTGATATTGGTTACTTCTTGTAGAATGTAGTTTTAATTTTCTTGTTGTTTGAGACTTAATTTTCAAATCTAATTTCCCTTCAAGTATTTATTCATTGTTTTTGATAAGCCGCTTCAAGTATTTATTGTTTTAATTGATTATTTTCTCTCTTTGCTGGTAATGCACTTATATCGAGTATATGCAACTTTTAGAGAAACTACTGAAGATGGAAAGGAGCTGTTGTTCGACCATGGTGCTCCATACTTCATTGTCAATGATGAGGAAGTGATGGGCCTTGTTAAGAAATGGGAAGCAAGAGGTCTTGTTGCTGAATGGAAAGAAAGATTCGGGTCTTTTGATCAGATCAGTGCTGAATTTGTCAAAATCGACGAGGTATTAACTGTCAGATGGTATTTCGTTGAAATGCTCTCTCTCACACACATGCATGCATGCACTCACACACGCACACAAGAGGACCTCTTGTTTGCATGAACTGATCAGTTTATGAAGCTTTTTCTCTTTACTTATACCGGTGATTAAATTTCGCCAGCCAACTTGGAAATCCCCCTAGTTGGCCTGGACCAGGACTCTGGCGATTTTGGAGGGGTAAGCCCAAAAATTGGGCAAGTCCCAGCGTACCTTTTGTTATTGTGGCGAAAATCGGCCAAGTTGTACCTAAGACCCTGCATCTGACTCGGCAACGTCTCGGATGGACTCGGGCAGGCTTAGGACCCTGGGAAGTCAGGGCCCAAGTCCTTATTCTTAACACAAACTCATACATTAAGATAATGACTAAGAAAAGCAAAAGAATTAAAGGAAATATTTAACAACATAGCAGTGGTGCCTATGGAGAAAAAAAAACACTGGATAATAACAAATATAAAACCAACTTGAGGCTGATAAAGAAGGGACACGACTATACCCATATTTCTCAAACTTGGCCTGGTCGACCCGAACTCACCAGCTTGACCATGCCAGGTCTCAAACCTGAGTCAGTGACCCAATTTTTCTTGATCCTACTTATTGACTCTGCTTGCCCGGTCAGGTCAAGCCATGACTCACATGATCCAGCTGGGTCTCAAATTAACTTTTTTTCCAAAAAATTAAAATGTTTATTTGTTTAATTAGTATAATTAGTTGGTAAATTTTGTTAGTTAACTGTGAACAAATTAACATGTATCAGAAACAAATTATCTATTGACTCTTAAGAACTTACCATATATAATAAATGAATTAAAGGGATAGTAAGTATGAACAAACCATCCCTTCCTCAAACCAACATACGAATAAAGTTCATTTAAATAAAATATATGTGATAATATGTCTTTTTAATTGGAAGCTTATTGTATTTTATTTTAAATTTCAAAGTTATTGTCTACAATAAGAAATTTTGGTAAAAATTCTAGAAATTGTATATTCCCTTTGTGTCCTGGGTTGACCCATCTGGGTTACCAACCAAGTCTGGTAAGGTCTTGTTTTGCAGACTATGATCATACCCATGATAGCAAACTCCATACATAAATAAGAATGAGACAGGTAGCATTTTATGAATTGATTCCCACCTCATTTACATGGACATATTGTTAATTAAAACAAGAATTGATGCCTCTCAGTTGCTGCTCCACATTGGTAGGTGGAAGAACCATAAATTCCAAGGGAACCAGTGATTCATTTTTATCTTTATATAAAGGGAAGTAAATAGGGTTTGAACCCCATTTATGGGATGTAATCAACATGCAACGAAATTTGAACCCAGTTGTGTAATATAATACAGCTACACAATCAAGCCTAATGATACATCTCTCCTCTTACGTAGTAATTTATGAGCTGCAGTACACATTCGTTAATTATTAGGGGCATTTTTCACTCCATCCCCCTGTTGAGTATGATGAAGTGAAAATGCTTAGTATTTCTACAGGAGATTCCAGGGTGAACCTCTGTTTTCATGCCCTATTTAGAAAGAGATATTCTCTTTTGTCATTTTAAATTTTAGTGACACGTTGGTTGATATCTCACTGATGTTAGGTGTAATGTGCTTATTTTCATATTGAACCAACCCAAGTTTTATTTCCTATTTATATTTTCCAGACTTTTGGATATCAAAATTGAACCTTTTTTGTCGCATTTTGCAGGCACCGGTGGCTAAAAAGTATGTTGGTGTTCCTGGAATGAGTTCTATCTGTAAAGCCCTATGCCTCCAGCCTGGTTTGTACTACCTGCATATTGATACAGATGTATTTGTTCTTATTCATCTATTTATGTGTATGTTAGTTTAAGTTATTGGGGCATCCGTCACTAATCGGGGAAAAAAAGATATTGGCGCATTGCCTCAATTAGGACTCACTTTTTGTGCTGAATCTTTTTGGTCTTTGTCCGTTAGGAGTGGAGGCTAAGTTTGGGCTTAGTGTTGCTACTTTGGAATGGCCAAAGGAGGGAAATTCATGGTTATTGACAGGTTTGGATGGGAAAAATGTGGGCCATTTTGATGCTCTGGTGGCATCAGATAAAATTATAGCTGCCTCAAGGTTTTCAAGCCGAACTGGTCGACCTCCACCTTTAGGTTCTTTCTTTCTCTGTTCTTGTGGATATTGCATTGTATATTCTGGTTATTTCTTAGAGTTCTTCGCTTTTCTTTTACTTTTTTCTTAATCTCTTCTCTGATGACACTTATCTTAATCAAGTTTTTTTATCTGACTGTAAACAATTTACCTTTTCCAAATAATACGAGATTATATAGTGTAAAGCCTTTGAGATAATCTCGCTCGCTGTCACATTCTTTGCAGATAAGAATTTGGCACCGGAATTGATAGAGAAATTGGAAGATATCCCTGTCCGTTCCTGTTTTGCTCTAATGTTGGGGTTTTCCGAACCATTATCATCGGTAAATGTTTTACCAACTCTGTTTTTTTCTTCAGCATTTCAACTTATGACAATTGGGAAAGATGACCCCTCGTCAAGTGAGGGCATTAGCCACTCCTGAACTATATGTTCCATTATCCTACTAAAATGTTCTTTCGACATGTCTTTGTGATAATCTTTTGTTCTCTCCGATGTCTGTGATTCTTTTCAATCTAGATCTGCTCTAACGATAGAACTTTGTTACCGATAGAGAAGGAAAAGACGATAATATGTTAGTCGGGGCATGACCTTGCATGTAATAAAAAGAAAAAAAAGGCAGCCATTTAAGTGTGGCCTTTTTATTCGCTTTCTACATGTGGATTTGAATTAATATCCTTCTTGCTCACTATCAATGACCTGTTCAGTTGAACTAAGTTAATATTTTCGAAAAACAATAATGGCCATCCAGAATTTTCTCTTTCATCAAAATCAGAGAAAAATGTTCAGTTGAATTAACCTAATATTTGAAAAACAATTATGTTCATTCAGAATTTTCCTCTTTCACAAAAAGCATAGAAAAATGTGGCACAGTGGTGTATGAGTCCTGCTCCCTCTCTCTCTCTCTCTCTCTCTCTCTCTCTCTCTCTCTCTCTCTCTCTCTCTC